TTTTGGGGTTGGGTTTTGGGTTTAGGGCTCTTTGGGATGGCCGCAGAGTCCACACTGAGCCGTGCCACGGCCGATCGGCCTCATCCCCTGCTCCTTGCTGTGGATGGAGCTGAAAATGGCTCAATTGTCCCAAAAACCCTGCTCCAGTGAGGAGTGCATCCTCCTCGTGCTTGGTAGAGCCCCAGGAGCGTGGCCGATTTGGGACTTTTGGGGACCGGGATCTGGGTGGGACGGGTGCGGGGTCGTGCGGGGTTGGCCTCGTCTCCAAATGGGATTTTTTTTGTGTGCATTTTTGTAGGGCGAGGGCGGCTGCCCCCCTTTTCCCAGCATCGCCCGGTCGTGGCAGCTCGCTCCCCAAACAGGCTCGAGCCTAACCTCGATTTTTGCTTTTCTCCCCCAAAAAAGGCCGGTGGCAGCGTGATTGTGCGCGGGGAGAGCCGCCTGCAGCCGATCTCCGCGCAGCCGGAGCAGGGGATTAGCGCCCGCAGCAGAAATCCCCCAAATTCCCCAGGATTTCTGGCGTCGCCGCTCGTGCCGAGGCTGCCCAAAACACGGGGTTTTAACCCCAATTCCCTCGGGAAACCTCTCAGGGAAGTGGCCGAGCTGGGAGAAGCCGCTCCCGGAGTTTGGCGTTCATTTCTAGAGAAACATTTGGTGGCACCCGTACGGATCCACGACCCCGCTCGGGTCGTCTCCAAGACCAAAAAAGATTTTGGGGCCATTCAAAAAAAATAAAAATCAAAAATCCACAGCTTAGTTTTGGGCTGATAATTGCTATTAGCATCGCCCGAGCACCGCAAAGCCCCGGCGCTGGGACCTGCTGAGCTGCACCTGAGGTTTAATTGAACCGGTATTAAATTTATTGGCCCTGTATTAAATTTATTGAACCTGTATTAAATCCCCTCCGGTTTCGCCGTCGCGTCGTGTCCCCGCGTGCTCGGTGCCGGCGCTGTGTGGATCGTGCTGGGCACTGGCTCTCAGGGGGTCGTTTGGGGTCAGGATTTGGATTCTTGGTGTTTTTTTTTTCCTTTTTTTCTTTTTTTTTTTTTTTTTCTTCTTTGTTTTAATTCAGAAAAGGCAATTGCCACGAGCTGCTGCCGCTGCCTGTGCTCACCCTGGCCGCGCTGCGGATCGGGGTTCGGCACAAGGAGCTTGGCCGTGGCTCCGTGCCTTGGTTTCCCCACCTGGTTGCCCCTAATGGCATCGCCCCATGGGCCCCAAAACCCTGGCATCCACCTGGGTTGGGTTAAATTCATTCCTGGAGGACGTCCTGGGTGAAAGCGGGGCAGGATTTCCCTTGGAGAGGTGGATGAAACCTTGGCCATCGGGAAATGACTCGGGGTGGGACACGCGGCACACTCACGGTCCTGGTGACCAGGCCGAGTGAGCGGCGTTTGGGTGTTTGGATGAACCAAATTTTTGCCCGAAAAGGGGCAAAAAGAGGGTTCAGTGGGTGCGAAGTCACCCCCTTCGCACTCACACAGCGGCTTTTTCCTCCTGTGGCGGTGAATTTGGCCGGGCTCGCTGCCGTAAGAAATCAAATACTTGGTGGTGCAAGGGGGTTTGGGGTGTGAAAAGGGGGTTTGGGGTGATCCAAAAGGGTTTTGGGGTGATGCAAAGATGGTTTGTGGCTGTTGGTGCTGCAGTGGGGATTTGGGGTGACACGAGGAGGGTTTGGGGTTGGTAGAGGTGCAAACAGGGCTGGACCCAAGGTGAGCGCTGGGCTGCACCCCGCTGGGGTGACGCCGAGCGGGGGGACCATTTTGGGATCATTTTGGGATTATTTTGGGTTCATTTTGGGTGTGTTTGGGAGCGTTTTGGGAGCGTTTTAGGAGCATTTTGGGAGCGTTTTGGGAGCGCGGGGCCGCACGCTGTGCCCCGAAGGATGGGAAGCAGCTGGGGCAGGAGGAGCCGAGGGGTTCCTGGGGCACCCGGTGCCCGCGGGGAGGCCGGGGAGCGGGGCCGGCCGCAGGGGTGATCCCGACCGCTGGATGACACTTGGGACTGTCACGCCGCATTAGGCTAAGCCCCGCTCAGGGCCTGCCCCCGCAGCGGGGGGCGGCGATGCCGGGGGCGAGCGGGGGGCCGGGGAGGAGGTGCGAGGACCCCCACCCGCCGCACGGATCCGGCCGGTGCAACCCCAACCCCCGATTATTTTATTTTTATTTTTATTTTTTGGGGGGGGTGTTTGCACCCCAAGATGAGCTGCAGCTGGTGCTGCCCCTTGTAGCCCGGCCCACCCTCCTGGCTAATCCTTTGGGGTTTTAATCCCAAATGGGAAGAAATTCGGGGGGGCGGCAACAGGGACACAGCCCCTGGGGGGCACCCCCAGGCCCCTCGTTAGCACAAGCTCCTTGCAAGAAGGTGGTGACCCCAAATGCTTGCATTCGGGCCCCCAAAAATCTGTCGTGCCCCACCTCATTCCCATCGGGACACCCCATTCCCTTTCTGCACCCCATCTCCTCTCTGCACCCCATTCCCATTGGGGCACCCCAATCCCATCAGGACACCCTAATCTCCTTTCTGTACCCCATTCCCTTTGGGGCACCCCATCCCCTCTCCACACCCCATCCCGGTATTTTTAACCCCCGGGGAGCTTTCGGGGGACGACACCGTGGGCTCACCACCACGGTGCTGACCCCCCGCTCCTCTCCCCAGCCGTACAGCGGGGCCGCATGGCTCACTCCCAGAGCAGCCCGGGCCAGTACCCGCTGGCCCCGGGGGACCCTTACGGCGGCCACGGCTACCTGAGCGGCTTCATCTCCCTGCTCCTCCGCGCCGAGCCCTATCCCCCAGCCCGCTACGGCGCCCAGTGCCTGCAACCCAGCAGCGTGGTGGGCATCGAGAGCATCTGCGAGCTGGCCGCCCGCCTCCTCTTCAGCGCCATCGAGTGGGCCAAGGCCATCCCCTTCTTCCCGGACTTGCAGCTCTCCGACCAGGTGGCCCTGCTCCGCCTGGGTTGGAGCGAGCTCTTCGTCCTCAACGCGGCGCAGAGCGCCCTGCCCCTGCACGCCGCCCCGCTGCTGGCCGCCGCCGGCCTCCACGCCGCCCCCATGGCCGCCGAGCGCGTGGTGGCCTTCATGGACCACATCCGCGTCTTCCAGGAGCAGGTGGAGAAGCTGAAGGCGCTGCACGTCGACGCCGCCGAGTACGCCTGCCTCAAGGCCGTGGCGCTCTTCTCGCCTGGTGAGAGGGGGGGGGCGTGGCCTAAAGGGGAGGGGGCGTGGCCTAAAGGGAGGGGGTGTGGCCTAAAGGGGGGGGGTGTGGCCTAAAAGGGAGGGGGTGTGGCCTAAAGGGGGAGGGGGCGTGGCCTAAAGGGGAGGGGGCGAGGCCTAAAGGGGAGTGGGCGTGGCCTAAATGGAGGGGCGTGGCCTAAGAGGGGCGTGGCCTAAAGGGAGGGGTGTGGCCTAAGGGAGGGGGCGTGGCCTGAATGGGGGCGTGGTCTCGGTGGGCGTGGCCTAGATGGGTGGGGTTGGAGTGGGCGGGGTCTTAATGGGTGGGGTCGTATGGGTGGGATGGGAGTGGGCGGGGCTAAATGTGGGTGGGGTGAGGGGGCGGGGCTTATCTGGGTGGTTGTGGGCGGGGCTTAATGGGGTGTGGTTCTGATGGGGGGGGCTGAATGGGCGGGGGTGGGGAGGGGCCGGGTGAGCTGGGAGTGAATGGGCTGGGGAGGAGTGGGCGGGGCTTAAGGGGGTGGGGCCAAGGGGGTGGGGCAAAAGGGTGGGGTTGGGGGTGGGAGTGGGTGGGGGGGATGAATGGGGTGGGAGGGGCTAAAGGGCTGGGAGGGGTGGGTGGGGCTGAATTGGGGTGGGGTTAAATTGGGGGCGGGGCTAAATTGGGGGGGGGCTAATTATTATGGGGTGGGGCTAAATTTGGGGCGGGGTAATTATTATGGGCGGGGCTCATTATTGCTGAATGGGACAGGGCGGGGTTAAATGGGGGGGGCTGGAAGGGGAGGGGCTAAACGGGGCGTGGCCGAATGGGCGTGGCCAAAAGCCCTATACCCGGGTGTGGTCAAATCGACCCCAAAATTGGGCATGGCCACCCCCCCACCCCCCCCCGACCCCCCCCATATCCCATTGAGGGCTCCGTGCCTCAGTTTCCCCTTCCCCATCCCTCTCCTCTCCACGGGGTTGGGCCCTTGGGGGGGTCTCGGGGTGGGGTCTCCGGGTGGTTGGGGGTCTCAGGGTGGGGTTTGGGGTTGGGGGGTCCCCCCACTGACACTCCCCCCCCCCCAGACCCCCCCAATCCCATTGAGGGCTCCGTGCCTCAGTTTCCCCTTCCCCATCCTCTCCTCTCTGGGCCCCGGGGGGGTCTCGGGGGGTCTCAGGGGTGGGGTTGGGGGGTTTTTGGGTGGGGGTCCCCCCACTGACACCCCCCCCACCCCCAGACCCCCCCATATCCCATTGGGGGCTCCGTGCCTCAGTTTCCTTCCCCATCCCCTCCTCTCCAGGGCTCTGGGCCCTCAGGGGGTCTCGGGGTGGGGTCTCCGGGTTGGTGGGGGTCTCGGGGTGGGGTCCCCCCACTGACCCCCCAATCCCACCCACCGACCCCCCCCATATCCCATTGGGGGCTCCGTGCCTCAGTTTCCCCTTCCCCATCCCTCTCCTCTCTGAGCCCCTCGGGGGGGTCTCGGGGGGTCTCAGGGTGGGGTTGGGGGGTTTGGGTTGGGGTCCCCCACTGACCCCCCCCCCTCCCCACAGACGCCGTGGGGCTGTCGGACCTGGGCCACGTGGAGAGCGTGCAGGAGAAGTCTCAGTGCGCCCTGGAGGAGTACGTGCGCAGCCAGCACCCCAGCCAGCCCGGCCGCTTCGGCCGCCTGCTGCTGCGCCTCCCCTCCCTGCGCAGCGTCTCGGCCCCCGTCATCGAGCAGCTCTTCTTTGTGCGCCTGGTGGGCAAGACCCCCATCGAGACCCTCATCCGCGACATGCTGCTGGCGGGTCCACCTTCAGCTGGCCCTACATCCCCATGCAGTGACCCCCCCCCAAAAAAAAAGCCCCCCGGGGAGGCTCGGACCACAGTGGCCTTGGGGATGGGGGGGTTTGGGGCGGATTCTTGGTTTTCTTCCTTTTTGTTTTTATTTTTATTTTTATTTTTTTTTTTTTATTTTATTTTATTTTATTTTATTTTATTTTATTTATTTTACTTTATTCATTTTACTTTATTTTACTTTATTTTACTTTATTTTACTTATTTAATTTTAATTTTTATTTTATTTTATTTTTTATTTATTTATTATTTATTTTATTTTATTATTTTATTTTATTTTACTTTATTTTATTTTACTTTATTTTATTTTATTTTATTTTATTTTACTTTATTTTATTTATTTATTTTTTTATTTTATTTTATTTATTTATTTTATTTTATTTTATTTTATTTTATTATTTTATTTTGGGTAGACCTGTGCGGTGTCAAGAGTTGGACTTGATGATCCTTAAGGGTCCCTTCCAACTCAGGATATTCTATGATTTTATTTTATTTTATTTTATTTTATTTTATTTTTTATTTTATTTCATTTTATTTCATTTTACTTTACTTTACTTATTTATTTTATTTTATTTTATTTTATTTTATTTATTTTATTTTATTTTATTTTATTTTATTATTTCATTTCATTTTATTTTATTCTTTTTTTTTTTGCTCCCTCCTCTCTCGTTGAGGCAGGGTCGGGGTCGGCGCGGGACAGCGCCCGAAGCGATGCGGGAGGCTCCAGGTGCGGGGCCGGGCGAAGGGAGAGGTGTGGACTATTTATAAAAATCAAATAAAACCTATATTATATCCTAATTGCCTCGAGCGACCAAATTGCGTGTCCTCATTCATGGTTTTAACGTTTTTCCTTATTGTCGGCGAGCCGACGAGCTCCTTCGCTCTGACTCATGGGCTGGTTTATTTTATTTTATTTTATTTTATTTATTTTATTTTATTTTATTTTGTTTTGTTTATTTGTTTTATTTTATTTTATTTTATTTATTTTATTTATTTAATTTCATTTATTTCATTTCATTTTATTTAATTTTATTATTTTATTTTAAATTTAATTTTTATTTATTTAATTTCATTTATTTCGTTTCTTTTTATTTTACTTTTTCATTTCATTTCATTCTTTACTTTTTTATTTTATTCATTTCATTTTACTTTATTTCATTTCATTTATTTTATTTTTTCCCTTTTTCCCCACTTAAAAAAAATAAATAACCCAACACCTTTTTTTTTTTTCCCTTTCCTTGGCACTGGAGCTGGCAGTGACGCTCGCTGAACCCCTGCCAGCGCCGCTCCGGCGCCGCGCCCCTCCCCGGGTGGGATGGGGTGACCCCAGTCTCATCCCAGTGCAGCCCCATCCTTCCCAGTACGGTCCCCTTCTGCTCCCAGTATGCCCCATCTCCCCAGTATGACCCTGTTAGGGCCTCCCAGTATGGTCCCAGGGCAGCTGCAGTCTGATTTCAGTATTCTCCCCAGTTTGGTCCCATTATGCTCCCAGTCTGGTCCCACAGCAGCCCCAGTCTGATCCCAGTGTGGCCCCAGTCTGATACCAGTACAGCCCTCATGCTCATCCCAGTATCCCCCAGTCCAATCCCAGTATTCCCCTGGGCTGATCCCAGTATGCCCCCAGCGTGGTCCTAGTACAGTCCTCAGTTTCATCCCAGTATACCCCCAGCCCTATCCCAGTATGCCCCCAGTGTGATCCCAGTATGCCCCCAGTGTGATCCCAGTATGCCCCCAGTCCTCTCCCAGTGCAGCCCAGTCTGCGGGTTCCTGCGGGCCGTGGTGATGCCGCCAATGTTTTATTGCAGATTTTTACAAGCCCATTAGAGAAAAGTCAAAAATGGCCTTTTCAAACCAAAGACAGGGGCCCAGCTGCACGCGACCCTTCTATAAATAACGTCCGGGGGGCGGGGGGGGGGGGCAATATTTTAGGGAAACAGGGCAAAAAGGGGAAAAGTTACGTGGGGTGGGCTCAGCCCCGGCTCGGTGCAAATTTGTGCTAAAAAACCCCAAATTGCATCGCCGGGGAGGCGAAGGCATCGCCGCGTGCTGGGCAGAGCCGTCACTCAAAGTCAATCAGAGCCCGGGGAGCCAAGATTGGGGGGGGGGGGGTGGGGGGGGGGCTGGTGGTGGAAATTAAAAATAATAACAAAAAAAAAAAAAAAAAGAAAAAAAAAAAAAAGCCACTTTTAAGCAGTGAGAGCAGCGTGGGGGGGGGGTGCAGCCGTTTCGCACATCACGCTGCAGCCTCCCCGGCTGGGATTTTTCCCCCTTTTTTTCTTTTTTTTCTTTTTTTTTCTTTTTTTCCTTTTTTTTTTTTTTTTTTTTTTTTTTCTTTTTCCCTAATAATGGATAATATGTCCAGGGAAGGTATGAAATTGCTGCCTCGCGGTATCCACCTGGGGCTGTTTCAATTCCCTTTTTCCCTCCCCGGCGCCTCGTCTATCTGCATGTAAAAGCAGCGCCCGTGTCCGTCCGTCTGTCCCCCGTCTGCCCCCCCCTAAAATCCAGGTGCACCCTCTCCCAGACGTCCTCCACCCCCAGCAGTGCTGCAACTCGCATAAAAACCACGGGAACACGTGTGCCACAGGTGCACACACACGCACACCCATCCACAGCCATGCACACCCCGTGTACATTGTGCAAAGCCGTGCACGTGCGTGCAAAACCGGGAATGCATGCAAACCCATGCACACAAACTCTGCACACACATGCATGGCCATGCACAGCCATGCATGTGCTTGTACACCCATGTACAGAAATGCACAGCCATGCACACTCATGCACATCCATGTACACCATGCGCATGCATGCACAGCCATGCACAACCACGCACAACCATGCACGGCCATGCACAGCCATGCACTGCTTACAGCCACGTACAGCCACTACAGCCATGCACACTTATGCACACTCATGCACACCCATGTACAGCCATGCACAAGCAGCACAGCCGTGCACAGCCATGCACACACATACACAGCCATGCACACCCATGCAAATGCATGCACAACCATGCACAGCTGTGCACAGCCATGCACACCCATGCACACTCATGCACACCCATGCACATGCATGCATAGCCATGCACAGCCTCTCACAGCCATGCACAGCCAAGCACAACCACGCAAAGCCGTGCACACCCATGCACACCATGCACACCCATGCACAGCTTCTCACAGCTATGCACAGCCACATGCAGCCACGCACACCCATGTCATACCCATGCACATGCATGCACAGCCATGCACAGGCTCTCACACCCATGCACAGCCACGCACACCCATGTAGGGGGGGTTGTCAGCTCTCAGAGTGCCCCCCAACCACGCTCATTCGGAGGAGCAAAGCTCTCGCAGACACATTTCGGCGGCCTTTGGGCACCCGTTGGCCTCGTTGGAATCCAAAGTGGATTCCCCAGTGGCCAACAACGCGGCTGAGCACGGGGCTTGTTCACCTTGGTCCCTTCTCTCCCAGCACCTCCCAGCCTTGGGGCAGTGGTCCTGGGGTCAGCCCTGCTTGGGCGATGCTCCCCATGAGAGGGGGGGGCACACGTTAGGGTCTGTGGGACCCCCCGAGCTTCACTTCCACAGCACCGCGGGGCCGGGAGCAAAAAATAAACGGGGGTGAGGAGGGAGCAAGGGCACACGGGAGGCCGGTTTGATGCGGGGAGAGGGAGGATGGACCCGCACAGGAGAATGGGCGAGCCGAAAGCCAATGGGGCCACCTCACCCCTGCCTCAATGGCCCCCCCAAAAGGGACCCCAGTGGGGATGGGGGATCCCTGATGGGGACAGGACCCGCAGAGGGAATCCCAGCAGTGATTGGGATGAGGAGGGTGCAGGTGGGCCCCACAGCCCCTCCGAGCACCCAGGGACAGCCCAGGGGCCCCAGGCCATGGGACCCCCCCAGTGCCTCCCGCTGCTCCCCATCAGCCCATTGAGAAAAAGGCGGCGCCACCTCCTCAATGGGGCCGGGTGGGTGGGGCTGGGCCGGGAGCCAATCAGCTGCGGGGGGGCGTGGCCACCCCACCGGCATCAATGGGGCTGGGGGGCACGGCCCAGCCGTTCGGCCAATCAGCTTCAGGGGGTGTGGCCACGCACCTGCCCTACCTCCCCCCCTTGCCCCTGGCTCGTGGCACCCATAGGGCGAGGGGGTCACGGGATGGGGACATGGGGACAGGGACATGGGGACATGGGGACAGGCACATGGGGACGGGGACCTTGGGGACGGGGTCCTGGGGACAGGGACATGGGGACGGGGTCCTGGGGAGGGGACCCTGGGGATGGGGACAGGGATGGGGACATGGGGACAGGGACCTGGGGATGGGGTCCTGGGGATGGGACCTTGGGGATGGGGACAGGGATGGGGACACGGGGACAGGGACCCTGCGGAGGGGACCCTGGGGACGGGGACCTGGGGATGGGGTCCTGGGGAGGGGACCCTGGGGATGGGGACAGGGATGGGGACCCCAGGATGGGGACCCCGGGGCTCTGTGGGCCCCAGCAGGGCGCATGGTGCCCCCCCAGGGGGTAGGGTCCCGGTGACAGCGAGGGCTTGGGAAACCCCTGCCCATCTCCAGGGGGGTCACCCATCCCACATCCCACCTCGCCCTCAAGGGACAGGGGACAAGGAAACCGAGGGGACATCGGGGACATCGCTGCCACCAGGCCGCAGGCAGCGCGTCCCCGGCGGGTTCAGCCAGGATTGCAAGTCACCGCCAGGAACCAGGCCGGCTCCGGGTGCCAAAACCACCCCGATCCCTCGGGAAGGGCAGGACGGAGAGAAACCAGCACCACGCAGCCTGAGCCACCACCGACCCCACAGGGACCACGAGGGGAACCAGCCCCCAAAAGCCACGGGGGGCCCCAAAACCTCCCCAACTTGGCATCGGTGCCCCGGGCCGGCGATCCACAGCAGGGTGCCGAAGGAGGTTTGGGGCTGGGGGGGCCCTGGGGAGGGGTCCCCAGCCCCGATCCAGGTGCCCTGAAGCTCGCCGCGGTGGCAGAG